ATGGCGGTGGCCCTGTCAGGGAGGGCACCAGCCCCACCGACAGCATCCGTGTCAGCCATCACAGGGTCACTGGGCCCATCGGGGGGGGGAGACATGCACCCCCATGCACTCCCTACCAGTCGCCTATGACATATGACATACAGCCAGGGCACCCAATGGGACAGATCCTGAGAAGCGCTGAGCTCGTACAGCTCTAGAAAACAGGGCTCTGTGAAATGGCACCGTTCTGTTTCGACTTGAGTTTCAACAGAACAGCATTCCGTTTTGAATTTCATTTCGATTTGAAACTGCTGTTCCGGTTCGTTTCGTTAAAACAGTTTCTCCGTTTCGACGCTATTTCAACGTTTCGCCCGTAGGCTATAATGGGGAAGCTCGAAGCAGCCTATAACTTTGTCATTTCTGGCCTGATTGGAAAGAAACTTGCAGGAATGGTAGCCACTTCTGAGTGCATGAAGCCTGCCAAGTTTCAAGGAGATAGGTGCAGGTGTTCAGGGAATATGCACCTCAAGGTCTTGAAAGCAAAAATGTCATGTCACATGTGTGTGTTAAGCCACAGCGGGGTCAAAACTGCAGGCTTGCTAGTGTCTGCAGAGGCCACAAAGCCTGCCAGATTTCAAAGAGATAGGCGCAGGGGGAGTCTGGGTTCTGGGGCCCTGCACCTCTAGCTGCTGATAGGCAAAACTCGTGACATGGGTGAGTGACACTGCATGTGTTAAGATGTGCCCCCACTCAACAGACACCAAGGCAGAAAGCAGGGCCGTTCAAACAGTGCTGCCTGTTGTGCAGTTTGTCCATCTCTCCCCCAGAGCACTGGGATTGGAAGGGACCTCAGGGAAGGATGACAGTCACTGCCCAGCTACAGTCAGTATCAGAGCGCTCCTTCCCCACTTCCCCCAACCTATCCTTGCTTTAAATTCTGTTTCCCTGAAGGAAAGCCCAGCTTGAGCTTCAAAACTTGAAATGTTTCAAAAATTTCAAAACATTTTGACTGGCCTTGTTTTGTTTTGAGGCTGTTTTGAAGCTCTCTGTTTCGCTTTGATTTTGCTGTTTCGAGCTTGAAATGAGTCAAAACAGCATCAAAATGAAACTGATGGTGAAATTTTGCACAGCCCTACTAGCAAGCACACCTTACAGAGAATGAGAAAAGAAGCCCAATGTGTTTGGCTTATCAGAGCAAGGACCAAGAGATCACTGGATCCCAGCTGACACTCAGGGCTCTCTCACTGAACAGACCAAGGCTACCAAGATGCACTGGCTGCAAGGCAAGGTGGGGAAAGTTCAAATGGGAAATCCTGTTATCATTAACCATGAAGAAGAGGTCTCTGCAAGGGATTAACAAGTGCAACATAAATCCTTCCCCACTTGGAGTGTTTGAATCAGGACTGGGGGTCTCTGAAAGAAATGGCCCAGTTCAGCCACATGCAGGAATTCCTGGGTGAAACGCTAGGTCTTGTGTTACTCAGGATGTCAGACAGGATGAACAGAAAAGTCCATTCTGCACAAAAATCAGGGGAACTATGGTCTGGAGCTGGAAATCTCCTAAATGCACCAAACACCCTTCAGTCACAACCTACTGTTGATCTCCTATCACACTGTAATGCTGACAGCAGAACAGGCCCATGGGCACTCCAGGGGCGGTAAGCCGAGACCCTGTCACTAGTGGTACAGACACACGTACATCTGGGGCCTCGGTCTGTCCCCTGGGGTGCTGGGTTTCAGTCGGAAGGCAGGTGACATCTGCAGCCAGAAAAGCCAGCAGCTGCCAGGCTGTGAGAGCTGAGAGGAACTGGAGACTGTGCTGAGCCTGAAACTAGTAGCTCTACAGGATAGCTGCGTGACAGGGGGAAGAGATCCTTTAAGGATCCAGAAGGGGCTGTGAGCCTTGCTTGGCAATGACAGATCCCTGGGCAGACTCTCAGCTGGCACGTTTTAGACAGGTCTCTAAGCTCAGAAAGAAAGGGAGGCTGAAGGAGGTGGTTGCTGCTGCTGAGAGAGGCTGGAGAACATGTGTGGCCTGAACCAAGAGAGGCAATGTCGTTTTGTTGCTGTTGTTGGGCAGAGGGACCTGAGCCTTTTGTGTTAAAGAACAACTCTACATAAGGGACTGGCTTGCTTGAACCATGAAAGTGTTAGGACTGTGACTCACACTAACACAGCTGGCAGAAGGCATGACCAGCTCACGGCCCATGACAGGAGCAGTGCAGGTGGGCTCCAGGGACTGGCAGCCAGGGTGAGGATGAGTTTTTGTTCCTCCACTTCGTGCAGCTCTTCTACTCTGAATTGCTTAGAGAAATCATCCCAGCCAGAGCAATAGTACTCAGCCTCATCCTCTGTTTGAACCGGGGCAATGATTAAGAAGCAGGTGTTCATGGAAGAGTTTTTAGAAGCTGCGAACCAATCGGGGACCCCAGAGCCTTTGTGATTTGTAGACTCATCCCTGTGATACAGCAGGTATCTTGGCTTCTCCCCCGGCTTCTGCTGGTACCAGCGTACGATATGATCAGCGATGCTGCTTCCACTGCTTGTAACACGTGCCAGTTTGACAGTTTGTATTAGAGCCAGTGACACGCTGGATGGCTGAGTCAAAGTGAACTGGTAGGTGGAACCTGAAAACCAAGCAGAACCACAGTTCATGACAGTAACTTGGAAAGCTCTGTGTGTGTGTGTGTGTGTGTGTGCGTGTGCGTGTGCGTGTGCGTGTGCGTGTGCGCGCGCGCGCATGTGCATGCCATGCACACTCACATGCTATTCAATCATGCTGTTGTATTTACTGCCCAACAAGCTACCAGCACCTGTGACCCCAGCCATCCTGGAAGCAGCAGACACAGCAAGAGGGGACTGTGGACTCCACTGGACACTCTCAGCTCCCTTTATAAAACCATGTGATGGGAGGAGATGTCCTGAATGCAGATCTGGAGGTTCTGGCTGTGTCCAGCTAACCCGCCAGTTCATCAGCACCCGCCCCACATGCATCCCAGGTTTGCCTAGAAGGGGCAGTAGCTGCTGTTGGCCTTACCTGCTGCTCTCATCAGCTTTCAAAACTTTTCCTATTAAACTCCCCACAGGTGCTGTATTCAGTAGTTGCAGTTAACACTGGGGAAGGAGCTCACTGGACCCAGGGACACTAGACAGAAGTCACTGCTGAGGACAGGGCACTCAGCCAAGAGCACCAACGATCCGTTGTGGTGCCGGCGGTGGCATTTGTTGATCCCTGGCCCCTATGGCAGACATGGGCTGCCTGCACTGTCCTCCTTGTGTGCAGCAGTTCTGCTCCTTCCAGTGACATGACATAATGAAGGGATAGGTGTTGGGAGGACTGGGGAAGATGCTGTCCCTTCCACTGAGAAAGATGCTGACTCTGTCCACATAGTGGTCAAAGTTATCCTGTGAACTCGGGTGAGCTGGCTGGGTCAGTGGTGGCCGGCTTCACTAGCAGGGAGCTGCAGAGGAAAATCTCCCCTACCCCAGCCAAACAAAAATCAGAAGCTGCTGTTTGGCTGCTATCTGACGTAGCAGCCTTGGTGGTCATTGGCCCCAGGACCTTTCATGCCTCTTGTAAGGAAATCCTGGAGGAAGCCTTTGCTCATGAGCCCTGGGCTGGTTCAAAAACAAGCAAGCCAAAGTGACCTCCTGCACACTGTGCTTTTATTCTGGACTCTGTGGATGCCATCTGGGGGGTTTGTCAAGAAAAATCACCTGCCCCAAACCAGGTGATTTGGTTCAGGGCATGCTTATTGCTGAAAGAGGGGTTTTTTTTGTTGTTTTGTTTTTTTAAATGAGCCATTAACCCCTATAGTCACAAAGGCTGGTTCCCACTGTCTCAACAGGAGAAGCAAATTCTTAGTTTAGTACACACAGGGGGTTACAGGACGAGGGCATGGTTTCTAACACACAGTCCTCCTGCAGAACGTTTTATGATAACGCTGTCTCAGGTTGCTTGATCAGATGCAACATTTCGGAGTGACTTAATAACACTACTTTTCATCTGGGGCAGTGTCTCATGTTCCCAATACTATGGACAATGGATTTTTATTTTTTTTTTGGATCTCCATAAATACACTCTCTTCAGCTTGAGTATTGCTCAGTCCTGCCACATCAATTCATGCAAAAAGCACCTACTCCCACAGGTTTTCAATAACCTCAGTAAGAAGAGAAACTACTCAGGGGAAGTGGCCATGGGGGAGTAAGGGGTAATGTTGTGCCTGCAGTTTGCTCCAAGACTAGGATGGCCATCATAGAGGACATTCCCATTTTCTGCTACTCTGTTGTCTATTGATAGGAAACCCAACGCCTTTATGGCCTGTATTTTTCTCTTCACAAAAAAAAAGAGAGGACATGAAGGTGTCCTGTTTCATATCAATAGGGGTCCGAAGACAACTGGACCATCCTCTATGATGACCACCCTATCTAGGACTCTTTCACCCAAACTCCTTTGCTGTGGCATCTCTTTTCATTCTCTCTTCTCCATTCAGCTGTTTTTGGAAATCTGCTTATTTTCCACAAAGCCCTAAGAGCATGGATAACAGAAACCCATTTATCTTCCACAGCATCTACTGGCCACCTGGACAACTGCAAAATTTGCTGACCTGGTTTTTTTTTTTTTTTTTTTTTTTTTAGTAAACTTCATTGACCCTAAGCAGAGAGAGTGGTTTAGGTGGTGCTGCCGCTGCCACTGAGTCTGGAGGTTTCTGCTGCTGAGAACAAAAGCAGATGCTACAGTCCAGGGGACAAGTCCTCTTCTTGCCAGCTGCCCTGATTATAGTTTTTGACCATAGGATGTTGTCTCCAGGAAATCTCTGCCTCTACACTGAAAACTATGAAGAGAAACAAAAGGCTCTCCTGAACAAAAAGAGGTTTCTTTTTAAGACAAGAAAAAGTCATCTCTGAGTGAGCGTGAGTGATGCATGTGTACATGCATACGCTATGCAACATAGTACATGGGTTCAACCCTGCCCAGATCCCTTTGGTCTAATCAACACACTAATCCCTGCCTGGAGATCCCTGTAGCAGTCTCTCCCCATCCATTAAGGTCACCTGCCGTGGAAGGCAGACTATAGCACTGGGGTAACAACTCCACATGGAAAGAGCACAGCTTCTTGTGAATGAGCACCCAGGACAAGACAGCCCATATTTCCTCTATTGATTTTCTAGTCACTGCTGATTCTGCTTCTTAATAAAGTCCTAAGTGGGTTTTGCTGCCAAGAAGCTTGACTTTCCGTGCTCTCCTCACTGTGGAAGAGCTGAGGCTCCTAACTTACCCTAACCCCAACTGGCAGAAACAGAACAGCTCTTGCTCTCCCTTCTTATACTGCCTGTTCCCCACTAACAACCAATTAGCTCCAGCTGAATCCAGCCAGGTCCTAATTTCCCACACTCCTTGCAAGGGAGCCAGACACCTGCTGAGCCTCTCTGGCTATGCAGGGGGTTTAACCTTTGAAGTCCTTCTAGAGCAGAGTATCACAAGCCTCTGGACATCCCCCTTGCAGCAGTGCAGGGAGTGTGTAGGGCAATCCAGTGAGCTCCTCTTGCGGGGAAAGCTGCAGAGCTTTTTGCATCTCAGAGGTGGTGCTATTTACCAGTGGAATAAGTGGCCTATTTCTATCATTATCCTCCTAAACCTCTGGTTTCTGTCTCAGTTCTCATGGGCTGCTGGTCCCTTATTAGGGCTCCTAGACATTAAAGGAATACAAGTAATTACTCATATGCAGGGATCCTGGTTTTCTCTGTTCAAAAATCACAAATTCTCTGATAAAATCCTGAAGACCCCGATTAAAATGAAATGCCACTATATATATGTATCAATTGAACACAATGTTTTCTTGATATATTTACAATTTTAAGCAATTTGGAAGCCTACCACTGCCTCAGTCACTTGAATAAAATCAATTCTAAATACTTATACATTTTGGCATTTGATTTTGGGTTTTTTATCATGGAAAATCAGAGCTTCCCCCTGCCTTCTTAGCTCACTGAACACAGGTCCAGACCCCTCACTCCCAAGCCACAGCCCCCTGGCCCTGCTGGTGGCTCTCACAGCCCCCCGCCACCACCAAGTCGTGCCAGAGGAGGCCAACAGCTTCCAGGACTGTGGGGCCAGGGACCGGAGTCCGCACCCCCTGCCCCCCACAGCAGCTGATGGGAGGCATGGCTACAGCAGCGTCCATGGGGTGGAAGCGGGGGGTCAGGCCACCTCCTGCACGTTTGGGCTACCCACCCTGCTGCCCACTTCCCAGGGCCTCCACCACCCAGCAGGAAGGACCCAGCATAGCAGGGCCAAGCGGGAAAGCTCCCTGCTGTTGCAAGCCCTTGCACTGCCCTAGCAAGGCATCCCCTGCCCACCCAGCAGCAGCTTGGGGCACAACTGCATGCCTCTGCCCTACTACTGCTGCGCGGGCAGCACATGCCTCACCAGGGCAGCGCAGGGCTCAGGGAAGCAAGGAGCTCCCCTGCCCATCCCTGCTCTGCCCTGCCACACTGGGTCCAGGCCCCTGGGGAGGGCAGCAGGGCAGAAAACTCGAGCCTGCAGCAGGCAGCCCGCACCCACCCCCCACCCCACAGACAGGTCGGGGGAGCACTTTCCCCTCTGCTCCTCCAGGAGTGCATGCAATGGCAGGGAGCCAGCCCACCCCTGCACCCCCGGTTGAGTACCCGTGGTCCTGTCCAGCTCCGTGGCCAGGCCCTGAAGCGATGTGTTCCAGTCCTGCACGGCTTCTCCCTCCCATCAATGTGCCTCACGTCCATGGACCTTGGTGGTAGGCTCAGTACCAAAACAGCTTGACATGGGAAACCTGCCCTGCTCTGGACTGTGTTCCTATAGCGTGGGTGCACATTTCAGGATAAATGGTTACAATGACCTGTTTAAGAGGCAGCCTTTTCAGCTATCACGGTCCCCACACACTTACAGTGGTGGCCCCTTGTCATTGCACTGAACCTATGAAACAAGCCTGTTTTGATCCTTAGCTAACACATGTAAGCAGGAGTTTGTCACTGGTACCCTGGTGGCCCACTAGACTAGAGGAGCAGCTAAGAAGGGGTATGATGCTATGCAGTGAAATCCAAGCTGCACACAATAAATAGAACTGACTTTCTGTTTATCTAGCTCTTCTAGATTCCTCTTCCTAGCCCCAGTGTCACCCCATCACCTTGAGAACAGAGAAGGCCTTGAGGCTCATGTCAGCAGGTTGAGGGGAAACTGTATCTGTCCTGAAAACTACTCACACCGAAGGCTGACCCATGCCACATGAAGCTCTGGGATCATTGCAAAGGGAGCTCCTTTGTGTGGTGGGGGTGAGAGGCCTGGACTTTGCCTGGTGAGGGCGAGTGATCAAAGAAATACACATCAGGATGGTGATCACTAGAAGCTTGTTCTACCCAACAACTCCCCAGTTACAATGTACTTAGACAGAATCCTATACGGCTAGATCTCACAGCTGCCACGCACATTTTGTCTGCAGGAGGGAGCTGATGAGGAGATCTCTGAGTAGAGCTGTGCAGAGTTGAAATTGCATAATGAGCAACTCATTTATGTCTTTGGAAACGATCCATCGCTCTTGTTCAAGAGCACGGCACCCGCCACTGCCCAGATTCTTACACTGCACTACAGCAA